CAGTTGAGTATCTGGATTTTTACTTTCTGGACATGGATGTTCCACTTTTGATTATATTATATATAATCATTCCCATACCATGTTTGTTCTTCCGGATACATCCACATCTCAATTTCCATATTTCCATATTTATATTTATTTATTTTACCTAAGTGCTGTCCTATGTCTTCTTACCCTGGGTTGAATTACCCAGTCTGCCGGAAACACACACGTAAGCATCTGATTGTTCTCAGTACGTGTTTCATTTTTATTGGTTATTTGCTTGAAAGCCGTTCAGATGGGATACTCACTGCACGACCCAGTGCTTGCTGGTGGTGAAGTCATACTTGGGGGCGTATATGAAGGGGACCCGGAAGTAGAACATGAGGTAGATGAGCAGAGGCCCGACATACTCAGTGAGGAACACCTGGGGAGGGACACAGGAGGGTCGGATGACATCACCGGGCGTCAGAGAGAGGGTTGAATCCGAGGTCTCGGAGTGTGTCGAGGTATAGCCTGGGATAGCAGCCCCTCGAATTCAGGGGGGCTCATTAAGCCTTGCTGGAATAATCCTTTGTATTTGAAATGCACAAACACCGGTGGTATGGCCACGTTAATTTCTCATGCAGAATTTCGTAGCAGAGATAAAGTGTTCTGCCAGGAGATGAGTGCGTTCCAGCAACCAGCTGGCGGAACATGCAATTCATCACCAGCACAGACCCTCGTTTCAACACCTTTGCTGGAGATTTGCTTTGTTCCACCTCCCGGTACAGTGCCGCTGATACAGTGCACCTTTCACTGCTTTTATATGCTCTCGTTGCCCAATTCCATTTGCTCTCCTCTCCACCTTTCTCTCCCAATCACATTTCAATTAATCCATACAAGCCCAGCCCTGCTGTAGCTCGCATGCTGACACTTAAATCCTGAAGCAGGCAGTGTTTGTTGAGGGCACAATCTGAAGGTTGCTAGTTCAAGTCCTGGATAAATGCTGATCTAATACACTTGTGCATTAAATGCAAATTAAATTGTCAGTTTACATCCTACCTGAGCTCTCCTCTAATAACCTTGAGGATGCAAATTAAATTTCAAGGCAAGTTTTCTCAAAAAATCTTAAACAGGAATAAAAAGTAGGATACTTCAGTTTGATTGGTTGGTTCAACTGTTTTTTTTTTCTCATTTGAGGGATTATGCGTACCAAGTAAAATAGCAAATGGAAGTAGGGAGAGTTTCTCTGGTTACTTACTGTAACCCAGGTGATCTGGGCTCCCAGGTCCCGGAAGTAGAAGGTGGCGGTTGTCCCGACAGGGAGCTGCTGCAGGATATCCTCATCTTTCAGGCATTTTCCCTCTGTGGGGGATAATTGACCAGGGTCAAATAAATCCAAAATAAAAAATGCAGGCCAGTCACTGAAACTCCCTCTGTAGTCTCCTGGGTCAGTCAGACTAATTCTCCAGATAACTTTGCTGTGAGTCACAGGAACTTTCCACACTGGTCCTGGATCAGTAGTGACACAGCCTTGGCCCCAGATTTTTTCACAGCTATGAAGTGCAACACTTTTATTCATCAGTGCTTCCAACCTAGAATTAATCATCGCAATACTTATTCATGCAGTAATAATTTTTATTAGAGGTCATTTTCAGTGCTTCATGACATATAAAAGACAAATTGACCAGCAATAATAATAATATTAGCGATGAATTCTGCTGTTAGATTCATTCCAGTCAAACCAGTGAGCTGTTAGGATACATAACAGGTAATGTATACGTCCAATGTTTGTGGGTAAAGTGTGGTGACCCGATCTGGTAGAGAACATCCAGGTGTGAGGCCCTGACTGAGGGGCACTGACAGCAGAGATAAGGGTGCAGATATACGTGTAACTGGATGATGTGAAACAGCTGTAGTCTGTCAAGGGTCCCACGGTGCGGAATGGTATGCATGTGGACTATGAATGGAAAAATGGATCAACATGCAGACAGGAGGCTCACTAGGGTCCAAGCGTAAGGATTGTCGAGCCGGATACCACTGCGGATCTGAAATAAAGACACATCATGTCATTAGTTTTAAAGACTTTGTTTCTCATAGGGGGTAATTCTCTATAAATTTAATCCATTTGTTCAGGTTAAATATTTAGGGTATGAGAGCTCATTGGATTTGAACCATGTGGTGTGTAGCTCTGTGGGTTAGGAAGTTGTGTCCAGAAGGTTATCTGTTCAAATCTCGTGGTCGACTATGTGTCATTCCACCATTGGGTCCCAGAGCCACGCCCTTAACACCAACTGCTCTAGAGATGTTGGCTGACCTTGCTGTCTTACAAATTCATTTCCTTACAAATTTAATGAAAATCCAGCGTTAGGACTGATTTTCTGTATGCCTGTCTATCTGTTTCTTATCCTCTGTATCTGACACTTACGGGACTTATGGAACATGGACTTGATTTCGGCGATGGTGGCGTTGGGCTCCACCTGCGGAACAGGAGGTGAGATGGTCACGGGTGGTGGTAGTCACAGATATGATGGTGCTGCTTTTACGTTTACAAAACACGAGGGTACGGCTATTCGAATATTACTGTCCAGTCACATTTTGCAACACAAACACAATCAACCATAAACACAATATATGTTTCTTGTTTTAAGGTACATGATGCAAGCAAGACTACCATCTCAATGTATCATCCTTCGTCTCCTTCTTTCCCTCTTCTTTCCTCCTCTCAAATCCACCAATACCCGTGGACCAGGAGTCGGGAATCCCTACGTTAGGCAACATAGGTGGTCGCCTAGGTTACCAACTTCTGAGGGAGCGCCAACTTAGCCAGTTTCACTTTGTCTCAGACAGTGGGATGTTTGTCTCCATCTGGGCTTTGACTGCCATTGGTCTGAGGCATTGTCTACCTATCAATAGCAAAGCTCCATATTAAGCACTGTGCATCTTTACAGAATCAACGGCGTTCTTTATCAGGATGGCGCGATGCGCTTGCCATGTGTTGACTGGCATGCCACGGGCCCACGCCTCCCGTCAGTCCATCTTGGGTGGCTCATTGGAGCTGCGGGCTGCAACATGAGCCCAGCGGAGTGGCCCTGATGATGACCGGCAGCCAGCTCATCTGTGATTAGCGTTAGTAAAATTAGCTATCTGAGTTCCCACAAGCTCAAGCCATCGATGCCTTAGTTGGTGTCAAGTGACTCAGCACTTCTGCTGATCCACAAACATCATAAAAGTGCCCTGATGTGTTTTTTTCTTCCAACTATTTTTCCTAAAAGGTTTGGATAGCAAAAAATGCAAAGAATATTTAATTCCCTGATATATACTGCACATTTTCTATGCATTGTACTGGACGGTCCATTTCTGGAGCAGCAAGGGATGATGTCCAAACTTGAATTAGCTATTCCCGATCGCAAATCGGTCGAGTCGAGTGGCACAGCTGCTTCTTACATTAACGGCTCATCATTACCGCCATCGTTAACGCCAAAGCCGTTAAATTACACAACAGGCTGATATTCTGTCAGCTGCACTGGACATGAGTCACCGTTGGCTGCAAAGTTACAGGTTCCTGCACCCAAAAAAAACTGCAAAGCCGCGGTCAGCCCTTAAATGCAGACAGCCACATATAGCCGCATTCGGAGCACACAAATGGACATGCTGAGACGAACACAAATGCAAAATAGTGCCTTTCGCACCTTGTCCAGCAACAGCAGCTTCTCCTTGGTCTTACCATCCAGGATCTCCACCTCAAAGAAAACAGCTTTCTTGGCCTTTTTGGCAGGTTTGGGCTTCCTGGCGGGGGTCACCGGTCCAGTGACGGCATCACCTTTGGCACCCTTAGCCTCTAATGCCAGGGTATCCATGACCTTTGACCTCCGTTACTTCCTAGGCTTGGAGAGAGATATCCAGCAGGGATTCAACCAGACGTTATGTGCACACGCTCCCTTCCAACACCTCCTTTTCACACCGTTTCCTTGTCGTCCACTTCCCTTTCTTCGCTCTTTCTTTCTCCCTTCTTTTTCCCTCCCCCTTTTCGTTCTCTCTCTACCCTACCAAAAAGTTACCGAGCCCCCCAGAGCCAGGATGGCAAAAGCATCAGAGATAAGAAGGAGGTCCATCCATATTTCTGTGCCAGGACATGTATCCGTGCAAGAAAATCGCTGATGAGAGATGAACACGAGAGAGAGGGCTGGCAGTGGTGGTGGTGGTGGGGGGGGGGGGCAGGCTGTAGCCACCTCCTTCTCTTCCCATGGCAGCACCTGAGGAACAGACTGCCCCCCCTCCACCAGAAAATGAAATCCGATAGGCAGGATACTCAGATTCACTGCTCCGTTTGCTAAATTTAAAATGCCTGGTGCTCCATGTGTTAGCAACTGGCTCCACCCCCCTCTGCTGTGGCTCCTCCCACTCAGTGCTGTTCTACAAGCTGGAGCATGTAAAGGAAATGTCAGTCAGTAATCAACACAGATCCACTGTGTCTGACTCATGGCTGTGGCAAAAAAAAAAAAAAAATTGGTGAAAATCTCTTTATCACATACACCCACAAGTGGGCGGGAAGTGGGAGGTACTCCAAGAGAAGAGCATTGTGGGGCAGTTCTTATTTCAGCCCCTGAAGCGCCTGCATGGTTGGGATCGCTGGGATTTCTGAAATTATGAGAAACAGCCAGCCTGCAACCCCCATGTAACACAGGAAGAGAGCCCCCTTCCGGGCCATGGGGAGATAAACAGGAGGCGAACAGTCAACAAGCAGCAGTATTTGAAAACAGGCATTTCAGAATGATGATGTTAAGGCTGCATGAGCAAACCTTATTCCGGTACACATTCTCCATGCAGCGTCCACGTGTGACCTAGTGCACCTAACTACGTCTACATGTTGCTGGGCGTGCAGAAGCCGGAATAAGGGGTGAGTTGAATTTAAGGTTCAAATGAAACATCTAGAGAAATCAGACATTGAGCGGTGTTTCTAATAAATGTTTAATGGTACCAATTACCGTTATCCCATGGGGTCTTTAAAGCACAAACTAATTATCGTTGTCATTATTATTGTTGTTATTGTTATTAGTGACGTGTATTGTTTACATGTATGTGCGGCGGAGCGAGCCCTGTGACGACACCTAGCGATAGCCGGCACGCGGAAGTGCCGTCAGGAGTGTCGCGTGTCTAGCGGCGCGTTCTGGAAGTTTCTCCGCGATTCGCGAGCAGCCTTTGCGGAGACGGCGGTCGTGTTTCTGCCGTCCGAAGGAGTCGGCGGATTTACTTGGAAATTATCAAAACGGCCGTTTTGTAAATGTTGGTCAGCCGATGAAAGAAGGGCGAGAGGCGGACGAGCGGAATGAAGCGACGTGACCGGGCTTGGTCGGGATTAATGCCTCTTTTAAAAAGTTAATATCGCTGTTAAATATCGGTCGCCATGGGTAAAGATTATTACCGACTACTGGGCGTGCAGAAGGACGCCTCGGATGAGGAGATCAAAAAAGCATATCGCAGACAAGCCTTGCGGTACCACCCGGACAAGAACAAGTCACCCGGAGCCGAGGAGAAATTTAAAGAGATTGCAGAAGCTTATGATGTCCTGAGCGACAAGAAGAAGCGGGATATTTACGATTTACACGGAGAGGAAGGTAGATCAGCCGAGTCCTTTAACCCCTGTGCGGACACCTTTAACTTCTCAAGAGGATATAACTCGTCTGCTTATAAAAATGGGTTATAACCCTGTCATTGTCCCACATCCTATTTCCAGATAGTTTTCCTGATTCTAATGGGAGTGTGATTTTCTGCATGGGTGAAGTGGTGGGTCAGCGGGCAGCGTTATGGCTGCTCGCCTTCAGGGGCTGTCGGTCTGAATACCGATCTTACTCTGTGTGTGTGTGTGTGTGTGTGTGTGAGAGAGAGAGAGTGTGTGTGTGTGCAATTTGCTTGTTCGCCCATTTTTTTTAATATTTCTTTTTTTTTGCCACAGCCCTTCGACGTGTTATTTGCATCGCATTTAGCGCTAATTAAATAGATTTTTTAATTTTGTTTTGCTTATATCTGCCTCTGTGTTCTCGGTGATGGACTGGTACCTTGCACTAATATTCCCTGCCCTGTGCCTCCTGAGATAGGCTCCTGGTTCACCAAGACCTGCACTGGGGAAGTGTTTATGGAAGATAGATGGATGGATGTATGGATGGATGAATGGATGGATGACCTGATATCCTGAATAATACTCCTTGGGATCCTGCTGCTGATATTAACCGTAAAAAAAAGGCATATTTATTTAGTTTCATCACAGTATAAAGTCCTTAAATTTAAAAGGCACTGCAAATTAATTTGTTTCTTTGGACATAGATGCCTCTGGTTCTGTTATGTAGCATTGAGTTACTCATTTCCTCTCTTTGTGCATCTCCGCAGGTTTAAAAGGGTCTCCTAGGGGTGGCGATTCAGGTGCTTCTGATTTCACCTACACGTTCCACGGTGACCCGCACGCCATGTTTGCCGAGTTCTTCGGAGGACATAATTCCTTCGGCCACTTTTTTGGGAAAAGTGGGATGGATGGGGATATGGACATCAATGACCCTTTTGCTGGTTTTGGGATGGGCAGCATGCCTGGCTTCCAGCAGGCCTTTAGGGTGCGGCCAGGGTGCACCCCCGGGACCCGGAAGAAGAAGGACGCCCCCTTGGTGCACAACCTGCAGGTGAGCCTGGAGGAGGTGTTCTCCGGCTGCACCAAGAAGATGAAGATCTCCCACCGGCGGCTGAACGCGGATGGCCGGACGACACGCTGCGAGGACAAGATCCTGACCGTGGAGATCCGCCGGGGATGGAAGGGGGGGACCAGGATCACCTTCCCCCAAGAAGGTGACGAGACACCCTCCAACATCCCCGCTGACGTGGTGTTTGTGGTCAAGGACAAGCCACACCCTGTTTTCTGCAGGGAGGGCTCTGACATCATCTACCTCACGAGGATCCCCCTGAGAGATGTGAGTGCGCAGGTTCTCTGGTCAGTGTGTTAGTATGGTGGATAGAGAGACAGCCGGCATTGCTGTTGTGCCTTTGAGTCCCCTGGCTGAAATTGATGCAGTAATATATCCTTATAAATGTGTAAAGCTTTCATAGAGGAATCTCTGCTGCAACAAAAAGGAAACTATGTTTGTTGCTATTTTTAATATCCTAGTCACCATGAATTGCGGTGTTCCACTATGATTATTTATGTAGCAGAAATGTTTTCATTCGTTTGCTATTTGAACGTATGGCATCAGCCGGGCTGTTGTCAAGAAATATACTCTTATTCTATTGGCTGTGGGGTGTAATAGAACTGCAGGATGCCTTTTCTTTCCCTGACTGTGCTCGCTGACCCTCTCGATGCTCCCACCTCCCCAGGCACTCTGCGGCTGCACTGTCACGGTCCCCACGCTGGATGGCCGGACTATCACCGTGACGATCCGGGATGTGGTCAAGCCTGGGACAAAGAAGCGCATCACTGGAGAGGGCCTGCCCTTGTCCAAGTGCCCCGAGAAGAGGGGTGACCTGGTGCTCCAGTTCGAGGTGGCGTTCCCCGAACGGCTGAGCCAAGGGACCCGTGATGCTCTCAGGCAGGTGCTCCCACCCTGAGTCCCTGCACGGATGGACGCAGCCTGGTGGAACGGTCCCACCACCCACGCTTCTCACTGGGGCTCACTCTGCCATATTCTCAAGCACGTCTTCCTGGAACTACAGACTACAGAAAATATTTTAATTAACTTATTTGTTTAACAAAGCTTACTGATTAATACAGAACATATTTTTAACCGTCTTAATCCCTTGTTACCTCTGTCAGAGCATTAGGGTTAGGGTTAGGGTTAGGAGAAGCAGAAGAGTGGCCTGATTGGCAGGAAGTGTTAGCATGTGCTAATCTGCTTAGCATGTTTGTCGTCTTTTGGAATCTGAAAATTTTATTTACGTTTGGCAGATATTTGAAAGAACATGATCATAGAGTAGCGTTTTAGGTTAGAAGAAGGTGAATGGGGGGAAACTGCAGGATCAATGTTATAATACGGCTCGTCAGAAGTCCATCCTGTCATGATAATGTTTTTGACTGACTGCAGATGAGTACAGTTCCACTGGGAGGTGCTATTACCTGGTGTGGTTCAGCGTTTCATGAGCTTGATTCATGAATATGTGCGAGATGTATTCATGAGTCGCAATGAAAAAACTAGATGTTCCTGAAGTGTAGCGTTTTCTTCACACATGGATAACGTTCCTCCCCTTTGTTATGAACCAGGTTGGTTTTCCTTCACTGAGTCAATTTTCTTCTCTTCTTTTGTTGTCATGTGACACCAGAAAAGTCCTAAATCCTGTAGGGTCTGACTACGTCTAAGTCTAACAGAATGTCTAACAGAACTTCAGTACTTCATTGTGATTTCACAAATTTGCCCAACGCCTCTAGGTACTCAAATTTCTACTTCCTTAAAAAAGAGAAACCTGCATTATGGATTGTGGAGCAGTTTAGGTTTTGGTTTCCCTCTTTCATTAATGCCATCATCCAAACAGTCCCAGGCATGAGGCCTGATTGATGCAATTAGAAGTAAATAAGTGAAATTGAGTCCTTAGTAGGCATTACATTACAGAAATAACTGCATTTGTATTTTATTTGGGGGGGGGACGCATAACTAAGATGTTGAAATTGGTGCAAAAGCCTTTCAATAGAGTCTGAACCTGTTCTTATTCATTTTTGTGTTCACTGCATGCTCGGGTAACATCAAACCAGTCCCGGTTTGGGCTGGATGTGTCTGTTGTCTTGTGAAGAAACACATCACTGGTTGGCAGTCCCAGTCATAGAGGTCATTCGGATGTGCTGGATTCTGTTCTACCTCAGCTATCTCTTAATTGATGATGTTATATGGACAGGAAGTCATTTCAGTTGCCGTCTCTGGTGAGGGTCAGTTGGTAAATGTGGACTAATTATTAATTTACTTATGTATATTTATTAACAAATGTAAAAATGTCAATTGGCGGATGAGTGTTCAGTGTTAGAGAATGTATGCTTTGTATCTAAAACCCATACGATTTTCTTTTTCTCAGTCTTAAATAGTAGTGGAAATTGTCAGTGTTGGATGTGTGAGTGCAACTCAGCTCTGAAACTTCTACTGACACCTGCCTCATTATTAATGATTTAGCCTGATTCTGCTTTGATCATTTGAAGCTGATCACGGAAAGCCTGGGTGTGAAGCTACTTAGTGAAAGCTGTGTGGCTCGATGTCAAACACTAATCATTACAGATCTCAGCTATGGGATGCAGTGAAAATGCTTCCCAACAGCCATCTTAGATAGATTGCTGCATCACCTGCTTATTTCATTGTAAATGCCTTCGGCCAGAGATTATGCAAATTTGTTAACTGTGGTCCTCTAGACTCTGGAACCAATGTATATTCCATGTGTGCATATTTAAATACAACAATAAATACTTTCCAAAAAGCTTACTGTAAATCAGTGCTCACCAATATACCTTTATATATAGTATGTATAATATACTTTATAATCTGAACAACACGATCGACTTTCCCCCCACCCCCCCTTGGTAAATTTGATCATCCACTGCCCGATCGGCAAACGTTATAGTAACACCAGGTACCATCCCAATAGACATTATTTTCAGACACAATGGACTCTGACTTTGTTGCTCTGAATTTGGCCCTTGGAGTAAAAAATAGATGGGGACCCCTGCTGTGAATCAGTTCAATGTTCAATTCAGTTTTATTTGAATAGCGCATTTTCACAACATTAAATTGTGTCAAAGTGCTTTATATCATCCCTGCCCAAAGCCCGTAGTGAGCAAGCCAGAGGCGACAGTGGCAAGGAAAAACTCCCTAGAAGGAAGAGGAACCAGACTCAAAGGGGGAGCACATCCTCCAGGGGCCGGCAGAGGAAGTCAAATGAGCAAGATGGCAAAGTCCCAATTTTAACATTTGATTCTCAAAGCGCTGCTTCTGATGGCAGGACAAACTGTGGTATGGCAGCAGGACATACAGGGAAGACGTCACGGGCAGAAGGACGAGCAGGCCGGAAAGACGCCACAGGTAGTGGAGATATCCCTAAAATTTTGTTAGCTAGAAAAAAGTAGTTCAAATTGAAAATTATACAGTTTGCTCCCTGTAATCAAAATCTGTACAAAATCATCAGTTGGAAACCTCTTTGAAACATAGCTTCAACTTGGAAACCCGTATTAGAATTTCTACTAGATCATATGGGAATATTGGTTGTGACACAACGGACACGATCTGCAATTACGGGCACTACTTACGAATTATATGCCCTAATTACGATATACAATCACCAGTAATTTTAGGAACAAATATAACTAAATAACTGAGATTCCTAAGTCATACGTGTATAGTTAATTGTGTAAAAAGTGAACCATGGCAAACGCATAAAATATTCAAATATCAGAAATGATCTGAGAGCTTTTTGGGGGTTTACTTGAAAAAAAATAATTATAGAAAACACATGCCTGATAACATTTATCTGACGCGATCACGGGTAAAATTATTATATATATATATTTTTGCTTATTTTAAAACGGGGTGTTTAATTTTAAATGCAATTACATTAAAATCACCGAAAATATCTCCTTCCTTAATAGTTGCATACACTAGCTTTCATAAGTAATCAGTAGAGTGGTCATAGTCGGGAAAAGCGCATGCGGTTATTGTTTCAAACCCTAATTTACACACCAGTTTGGAGCTCAAAATCCTATTTGAAACAAATAAAAATTCAGAAAAAAAAACTCCACATTTAATGGGTGAATACAATGTTAACACCACTTCTGACAGATGGCCAGACTCTGCTCTGAACCGGCCCCCATCAAGGTCTATTCCAAACTTTGTCGTGTTCTACGATTTTTGTACTTATCAAATAGTTCCATAGTTTATGGGTAGATAAACTGCCGTGCAATAATTCAGTAACGGGTTTACAGGACAACCCAACCCAACAAATCCCGGTCCATGTTCTGGAAAGATGGGGATGATGATGCTGATGATGATTGGGTGTGGGGTGCGCTTCGATTGGCTGTGGAGTTTTAAGTCCCGCCCTAGTGTGGTGACGTACCTCCGCTCTTCCTCCAGTCTTATTGTCGGCTGCTGAACTGGGGCTGGAACTGAACGCCTTTCGCTGGTTCCTGCGCAGGGGGACCGGGGACCGAGGACCGAGAAAAGCATATGATTCGGTAAGTATCCCCTAAACACGCGTCATTTCGGCTGACCATCAAACGAAATATATGACACCATTGTCTTTTTTAAATGAAAAGGTAAGTTTGATCACCAAGTTAGGTTTTATATGGCTACATCGGGGTACGTTAGGCAATTCATCCATATGAACGTTGTTTTAAACTAGTGAAAAAACTGAGAACAATGTTCGCTCACTAACTAGTCAGCTGGTTTTCCTGCGCAACAGCAAGATGCGATCGGCACTAGCAGCCAGGGAGTCGGATGCTAACCAGCCAGCTAACGGTAACGAAAAGTCCGCTTCACCCACAGCCGCTTCAGTCGGCTTCCTTAGCCAAGAGTCGAGCTGCTAATGGCGAGTGAAATGGATCGCACTTCCGACACCCCCACCCGTCCCAAAAAGTCGGATCGGGAATTGGTCACAGATTTTGGGGGGAGGGGGCCCGGGATGAAGGTTGACACGTGACTGTTTTAATGCTCGGATCGGAACAGTGGTCCCGACTGGTTCCGCTAAGCAGCTTCGTGCAGAGCTCCGGTAAACACGGGCTTCACCATAACTGCACACCGCATTCGTGCTGAAGTACAAAATACAGATGCAGTCATTTCTAAGCGCCATGACAACTTACAAGCGTCACTCCAGGAGGGCTGCGAGAGGAGGCCCTCTATATGAATCCAGCTCGTTGTAAAATTGTTTGCAGACTGATGTTAAGGCGAACCGATTGGTGTGTGACTCAGACCAGTTCATCAGGCTGTTTATACGACCTGTGGTGTGATTATTATTTCATGATGTTATATTAGACACTCTTTATGTTTTCCAGGGCGTAGATCCAAGTAAGAGCTAGCGCTGAATGTGTCTCAGACTCCTGGGGAACTTGAAACGCTCACGCTCACGCCTCCTGCTGGTGGAGCCGTGGGAGGCGCGGGCAGGCACCCAGTTCTCAGCGAGAGCACCGGCGCTCAGTGGCATGCCCAGGCCTGCGCCGAGGGGGGCTTGAGAAGCGACGGACGAAGGCTTGGCTCCGCGGACGGCCGAACGATGCCACTCGGTCTGGGTCGGAGGAAGAAGGCACCGCCGCTTGTGGAGAACGAGGAGGCGGAGCCGATTCGGGCGGGCCTTGACGTGGCGGGGCTGGACAGCGTGGGGGCCGGCGGCGCCCGGGAGGGGGCTTCCCTGGGGACGGTCACCCCAGGCCTTCCTCCTCCTCCAGCCAGCCTCAGGCCGCGGCTGGTCTTCCACACGCAGCTGGCCCACGGGAGTCCGACCGGGCGCATCGAAGGCTTCAGCAACGTGCGGGAACTCTACGCCAAGATCGGGGAAGCCTTCGGGATCCTCCCGGCTGATGTGGGTGGCGCAGGAAGCCAGTAATATCTCCATAATAACAGGGGGAAGTAAATCCAATAAGCTGTGGGCACATTACCGATTGCAGGCTTGTTTTTAGTAGGAAATATCACCAAGTAGGTGACTCTTGTGAACCACCTGATCATGTATTATTCTGTATAAATAATGTAGTGATGTATTACCTCACAATTGGGGCAACTCAGTTGTGAAAGGTGCTATATAAAAATAAATTGAATTGAATTTTAGTTGTACACCCCCTTGTTCCAGGTGATGTTCTGCACACTGAACACCCACAAGGTGGACATGGAGAAGCTACTGGGTGGCCAAATCGGGCTGGAGGACTTCATCTTCGCCCATGTGAAGGGCCAGAGGAAGGAGGTGGATGTGTTTAAGGGCGAGGATGCCCTGGGACTCACCATTACGGACAACGGGGCCGGATATGCTTTCATCAAGGTGGGTGGGGAGGAAGTGAGCAAATATCCCTTCCGATTGGCTGCAGAATATTAGATTAGATTAGATTCAACTTTATTGTCATTACACATGTACAAGTACAAGGCAACGTTTTATTGTAATTAGTAATTGACAACAAGTTATCTTCTCTGCTTTTAGATTTTGTTCGGTTGCTAATTAATTGCTGTAAAACTTGCAGGGCTGAATTTTCAGGAACAAGACTGACTGGCTTTCAGAGTGGGGGGGCATCTTTGCTAACATGCTTTTTTAAAAAAAAAAAAAAAAAACCTGCGTATTTCAGAGAATTAGAGAAGGAAGCATCGTTCACCAAATGCAGCTCGTCAACGTCGGGGACATGATCGAATCCATCAACGGGAAGAGTCTGATTGGCTGCCGACACTACGAAGTGGCCAAGATGCTGAAGGACCTGCCTAGGGGGCGGAACTTCTGCCTCAAACTGGTGGAGCCCCTGAAGGCCTTTGGTGGGTCGGGGCGTCTATAATGAATCGCGGCGAATCAGTTTGACCCTTCAGGGAATTGTTGATTTATGTCACCCACTAATAATTTCTCTTTTTTTTTTTTTTTTTTTACAAATGGCTATATTGACATTAAGAGGGGAGTTCTGTTTTTGTAATTTGTTTTATGTTTATGTTTACAGATATGATCAGCCAGAGATCTGGGGGTGCCCGAGCTGGATCCGGAGGGGGCCAGTTGGGGACGGGGCGAGGGACACTGCGTCTGAGGTCCAAAGGGCCGGCTACTGTGGAGGAATTGGTACGTTTGCTGGTGTAGAAAACCCTCCATCACCCCCTACCTGCCCTGTCTACCTGGATGAAGAGGGCAGTCAGCAGAGTATATGGTGTCTGAGAAAACAATGGCCGGTCCCGCCCTGCCTGGCAGGGGTTTGAGTGTAACCTGTCTCTGTCTCTTTCACCTCACTGTCACTCAGCCATCTGCTTTTGAAGAGAAGGCCATTGAGAAGGTTGATGACCTCCTGGAGAGCTACATGGGAATCAGAGACAGCGAGCTGGGTAGGGGAGCCGCTCGCATTACGCTGCGCGCGCGTGTGTGTGTGTGTGTGTGTGTGTGTGTATGTATGAGGGTGCAGTCGTCATGGTTACTCATCCATGCGTGTCTGTGACGCACAGCGGCCACCATGGTGGAGGTGGGCAAGGACAAACGTAACCCTGACGAGTTCGCCGAGGCTCTGGACGAGACCCTGGGTGACTTCGCCTTCCCTGACGAGTTCGTGTTCGACGTCTGGGGGGCCATCGGCGACGCCAAGGTGGGCCGGCTGTAACCGCGGAGACCGGAGGTCACGTCCCGGGCGTCGTTCCCGACCACCAACTCCCCGAACGAGCATCACGCCTTCGCTTTGTTTTCCGAACAGGGAGCTTCATGTAGGACGTTGTGGGGTCGTCGTCCAGGCTACTTTGCCCTTTAACCTTTGACCTTTTGCCCTACGTGCCGTTTTCCTGTGGTTAGAGAAATGAGGGACTGAGTCTGCCATTCTTGGACCACAGAAGACCACCGTTCCTTTACCCGTTCACACTACAAGCTCTGGGTTAGTCTTAATTTAAAAGCAAAGCAATGTGGTTTACTGTAACCAGGACACACTGTTACCGACCCTGACTGAGACCTCATTACACACATAAGCCTGATTTTAACCTTCTTTCCAGTAAGGCTTTCCTTTTTGCTGTTTTTTTTTTAATTATCATAATTTTTTTTTACCTGAAATGAAGGAGGGAGACCACCCCCCCCCCACCCCCCCAATGAACTTGGCCAAACGGTGGTATTCGCCTATACTGTCAGCAGTGTGTTTTTTTTTCTCTTTCTTTTACCCATGAAGAAGCACTGCACTGCTCGTTAACCGAAAACCTTGGTATCGCAATAGTATTTGTGGGCCTGGTGACTGAGTTTCCCCGTGCTGCCTGTAGGGGGACTCAGTGTTCAGCACCACGGCCTCTCGTCTCTAGGGCTGGGAATTCGAATCCCGTCCCTGTCTTTGTCCATGTGTAGCTGGCATTCTCCCCGTATTCAGGCGGTTAGGTGAGTTTCCGTCTCGCCGTGTCAGTGTCCCCTGGCCCGTGCCCCTTGCATCCTGGAATGGACACTGATTCACTATTACCCTGTTCTGGAGATGTGGTATGCAACATAGGTAGATGTACTACAGTATAAATACTATAGCATATTTCAGCTTTTGTATGAATAGCACCCGATCACTGGAACACATGTACTATAACCCTGCACATAAGAAGCTGAACATGGTCATGTGATGCAGGAACTGACTGATCGCATGGTGAAGTTCTGTGACAAGTCATATGATGAAGGATTTGAAGTTGCCAAAATAACTACATAAATAATAAGTTTCCTAGTGCTGATGCATGCTTGTATATTTTTATATATAAATGATGTAGGAAATGTATGAAGGTAAGGATGTGGCAGCATATGAAGCTTTTTAAATAAAAGAAATAAAATGAGGGGGAATTGAGACTTTAAACCCCACGGTGGGCGGCGTTACGGTGCCGTGTCAGTCACTGACTGGTTTGAACCACTACATACTGGTGCTATTTAGGGTGCAGCCAGGCAGTAAATGACACCACGTGACAATCACACTCGCTGTGCATTTTTAAAACCTCAGTTTCCCCCATCGATCTAGCATAAGACACTAGTAGGAAAAGCGCATTTAAAAGCAGATATACTGATAAAATGATACGAGACTTGGATTTCAGTAGTGGGCACTTTGGCAGGGAGCATTTATATAATAATGTAAAGGTTTGATGTTTCAGTTCGGAAGAATTGAAATTTTTGAACAAGTCTTTGGGTAAGCGATCATGGACCACTGGATGGATGACAGACAGATTTTTTTTTTTCTTTTAACCAGTGGGGGTGGCTGGAACAATCCGGAGGGGTTCTGATGGTTTTATTTTTTTCTCTGACAAGCATAAAGGGCGTGAGTGCTGCTGACAGCCTATGACATGTGTACTTTTGAGCCCTTTGGGAGGAAAATCCTGCTCTAAGGACCATCTGTCACCATGGGAACACTGTCTGACTTTGATTTGGGCTACGACGATTTGTCCCAGCCTGCACCTATTTTTGTAACGACTAATCCATGTTTTGTGTGCCCCATGTGAGAAAGCCTAGTCATATACTGCAGTTTATTGTTACATGCTTTTGTAGTGGTATGTTTTGAGAGAATTTCACACTAACGCTGTTTAACAGTATTATTACTGAATCGCTATGTGGAAGAGGACTGATTAAATGTTACTAAACTCGCACTGAAAAAAGTTACCTGCTGTTTTCTGTGACATTAACATTCTTAATAATAAGTGTCATATTTACAGTGTAAATTCATGTTGTATTTGATTTTGGTTTCTTCTCCCCTTTGGGGGGTGGGTTGGGGAGGGAGGGGGGGGGGCAGAGCCTCCATCACAGCTGCGTCATAGTGATCATTAGCGCGGGTCATTAGAGTCTGTTGTAGAAACACACGATGGTTATGGGCACAGCCAGCCCCCACCCCCGTCTCCACACACACACCTCATGGGGGGGTGCAGGGACCTGGCTGTGCCCAGAATACTTGCAGGATTGGGTTTTGACAGCTTTTACAAAGAATTCTGTGTGATAAGTGCAGCTTCCCTGCCGGAAGTGTAGCAGTGTATGACATTTATACATGAGAAACATCACCAAAGAACCATAAAGCGCCTAATAAATGCTCCCCAGGCTTTATGAAATAAAGTCATTGCATACACATAAAACCATAAAGCGCCTACTAAGTGCTCCACGACCTTAATAAAATATAAACATAGCGTACATAGCGTGTAGAGGGTGTGTGGGTGGAGGTGAGCATGAGGGTGGGGTTTACATAAAACAGCAGCCTGAGGGGCTTTGTTATATCGTGAATATCGTCATAGCTAGTGGTGCTAGGGCCCATAGTGCGGCACGTTTCGCTTGCATGAGGAATACCGCTTGCAGCAAGGTTACCCGAACCGTGTTGCTATCGAACACACAGCTGGGGGGCGGGTCTGGCCAGTCGCAGAGCGGGATCTGCGGTATCAGTTTTGTAAAAGTGAGTTTTCTGCCATCGGATTGGCCTGCGGATACGATTTCATGGGCCTGAGTGTCTCCAGTTTCAGGGTTTCGAATCTGACCTGCGGCCGTTTGACCGACAGAAGAATCTATGCTTGAGTTTATCATAAAAAAAAATTTTAAATGTCCTGTAGCCTTGGAGTCCTGGTGAAGGCAGGAGCACTCAGTCGCCGCCCCTATATCAGCGACACAGTAACCGGGGCATGAGTCTCCAAAACAAGCCAGTTTCTACTGCAAACATGCTGCAAAGCATCAGCTCCTGCTTCACCTGCTGTTTTCCCGTGCAACGCTGCGTGACAAGTACGTCAAACACACGCAGGGCATTCTGGGTATTGACCCTCAGGAGAGGTTTCGTTGTAACTATGCTATACTCCAGGGATGTGGTGGTGGAGGGGCGGGTCTTAGAAGGGGAGGCGGGGCTTATACTAATTTTGATTCAGCTGTGATGTAAGCGCGAGAGTGCCTTCGGTATCTCGCCGTCCATCTCCGTGTGGAGCCGCTAAAGGGAGGACATGTTCTTTAGAGTCTGAGGGAACGACAGGGTACACAAGCAGCGCTGGAAGGTTCTAGACAGGATTCCAAAGGGGCGCAGACTTGACTACAAGGAGGCTAGAGGAGGGAGTGAAGGGTCTGTTTTAGGAAGAGATACCCAATCCCTTGAGGTTAGCCGGTTAGCGATGTCGCTACGTCCACGTGCAGCGTCTCAGCCTGGGAGACCGACGCCTGTGCAGAGCCCCGGGCTGAGCCACTTGCAGCGTCGCCGGGCCTCGTCCAGCAGGACCACGGCCCGCCTGGAGGAGGAGCTGACGTGCCCGGTGTGCTGCGAAATCTTCCGTGAGCCCGTGGTGCTCAAGTGCAGCCACAGTTTCTGCCGCTCCTGCCTGCGGCACTTCTGGCAGCGCAACCCGGGAGGGCGCGAGTGCCCCATTTGCCGGCGCAAGTGCTCGCTGACGGAGCCGCCCGTCAGCCTGGCGCTCAAGAACGTGGCGGAGAGTTTCGCGCAGCAGCAGGGCCCCGGCCTGGAACCCGGGGTGGGGGGCGCCGCCGCCGCCGAGCCCAAGGTGCAGTGCCACCAGCACGGGGAGCCGGTGAAGCTCTTCTGCCAGGATGATGGAGAGGTGCTCTGCTTCGTCTGCCAGACGTCCCGGAGGCACGCGGGACACCGGGTGTGCCCGCTGGACGAGGCCGCGCCCGACCTCAAGGTGAAACCCAGGGGTTTGTTTGTAGTGCCCCGAGGATTTGCCATTTCTGCGTCTATTTCTGTCACGGAAAATATAAGATAAAACTCGTTCGTGAGGGAAATAGTGACTGTGCAGGATTTGACAGTTTAACAGTTTAGGAATACCAAAAATAAAGAATGAAATGTAATGCATTGTAATACAAGTACAATACAAGTATAAAGACAAAAAGGATAAAAAGCTGAGGTATGAAACTAAAGTGGGAGTGTGCAGGAGACGGGAAAAGGGGGCTGTGTAAATGTGCAAAAATACGAGATAACTTATGCATGTGACAAAGAATGAAACGGACTTGGTAAATACTATTAAAAGTCGAGAAGTGTCAGGAAAGGGATAGAGATTCGGGATTTAGGGAACTTGGTTGTTCAGGATGTAAAATTCAGATTAAATCACAGGTTCTGACAAGTGGTCAGTTTAGAGGGGCGTAAAATCATTTTTTGAGAGCATATCAATAAATTTAGCAAATAAGATGGCCATCATTCTTTTTGAGGGTTGAGTTGCGTGATTCTGGCAAATTGCTGGGTGTTTCTCTATGGATGCCAGTGTCTTGATAATTTATTACAGTACTGTGGAAAAGTCTTCAAATAAAATGATATTTAAAAGATCTTATTAATTTAGTTTCGTTGCAGCAACTGTCCGATACACTTATGTATTTTTTGACTCCACTGAACCACTAGAACATAGCACATGACTAACTGAATTATCTAACTAATTAAATCAATTAATTAACTGAACTGGTGGAACGGCTGAGGTGCCCCTGAGGAGAGGTTTGCGTTCATCTAGCCATCCAACTAGATATCAGTAACTTTTTCGAGAACAAGAAAGTTTTTATGGATTATCTGTAACATATATTTTAATGTTAAATATTATTCTTTCTCTGAGCAAATATATACTTACTACAGAGAGAAATACCTTGAAACATTGCCTAAGTCTCTTGCATGGTACTTTATTCATTCATACACAACACCAGAGCGATATTGCATAAATATTCCCCTTTAACGTTAATCAGTTTTGTTGATTTGAACCATAGTGAACAATAACCTGGGGTGGAAACTGAAGAGAAGTGAGGGAATCAACAACGCTGTGGGGCTTCAGCTCTAGGCCAGACAGGCGTGATATTACAGGATGTAATTTTACAGGGAGCAGTAAATCGGCCTTTAACGTTTAAGCGTTAGCATGCTAAGAGACGACTGGTCAGTTTATTTATTTGTTGTATCAGGCGGAACTGAAGCAAGAATTGGGGCCTCTGAAGAAAAGCCTGAGGCACCTTTACGAAGCGAAGCAAGAATGCGACGACACGGCCGTGCACATCAAGGTAGCTGTCGTGTAAGCGGTGCTGTAAAGTCACTAACGTTACGTTTTGCGACAATGGTAGCTGGTGTCGGCGAACCATCCAGGCCTGGTCCTGACAAAATGTGTTTCGGGAAGATTTTCCATTGTGGCTTAATATTCCCCCCCCCCCCGCCTTCCGCTGGTCACTTGTTCCCCGCCGCTTCCAGAACCAGACACAGTGGGCCGAGCAGCAGATCAAAGAGGAGTTTGAGCAGCTTCACCAGTTCCTGCGGGCCGAAGAGGCCGACCGACTGGCAGCCCTCAGGGAGGAGCACGACAGGAAGTGGCAGCAAGTGAAGGGGAAGACGGACGGCCTGACGCGGGACATTCTCTCGCTCTCTCACACCATCATCGCCATCGACAACGAGGTCGCCGCTGGTGACGGCCTGTTTCTCCAGGTAATGCAACAGCTGACTAGGCGGATGACAGTTTAGGGTCTGACACTTGTTTTTTTTCCACTCATGGCCTAATTTAACCCAAAATCAAGGCTGTAAATACCTATTTATATTAACATACAGCAGACATCCCACTTTAGGAATACTGATTTCAGGGAGGCAGACGAGGGGGTGCTGGTGAGGTGGGGGGGGGGGGTGTCTGGCTTGGCTTGTCGGGGGGATATCAGTGATGCCGCATGACCGTGTTATTTTCGAGTCAAGAAATGCATTTGGATTTGGAAACGACTAAGCTGACACAATTTGACAGACGTAAAGTCATAGTTCTATACCAAGAGGAGTATCATTTAAACATCATTTTCCTTGACTGACATTTGCACAGTACTGTGAATACCACATGAGATTCCACCATACCCTTTTAATGTGATCAAGATATTAATGTCAGTCATTGTTTTTTCCCCAGAATTACAAGAACACCAAAAAAAGGTATGTGAACTGTCGCTTATACCCCCCCCCCCCCCCACAAATCTCCTATTGTCATTGGACTGACTGTTTTGATGTTTGCTTCTGTAGGACCCAATGCACCATACAGGAACCAGAGAAGATTCCAGGTGCCCTGATCAATATGGCTCATCACCTGGGCAACCTGAAGTATAGGGTTTGGGAGAAGATGTTGGGGATTGTTAAGTACAGTGAGTTTTCCTCTGAGGTTGTGTACGAGATTGGGGGGGGAGCTTGTGTCGGGATTTAATGGTCATACGCAAGACTAACCTCACTCGGGCTGCGATCCATCCACAAACATCTGCCAGCCTCTCCAGATCAGAACAAACCAAACCAGACCAGACCAGACCAGGCCACACTACACCACACCACACCACACCAAACCAAACCAAACCAAACCAAAAAAAATACCTAAAAGAAAATAAAATTCTCCAGGACATGAGAACAGCCAGCACACCTGATGAGCTCTTTATGATGCTGATAAATCACAAAAAAAGTTGAAATTGGCACGAGTGCCCATACCATGAGGAATTTATGGGCGAGTACATTTTTACTTTTGTATTGGTTTGCATAATCTTACACCATCCTGGGGCACAGACTTACTATGGGCAATTTTGAGACCCAAGATCACTGGATTTAGCTTTTGGGCTAATAATCCACATACAGAGCCAAGGGTGGGAATTAAACCCTTAATCCTGGAGGTGTGAGACCACAATGTTACCCAGTGGCCCTCTGTGGAATCGTTGTTGTCGTATGTTGGATTAATTTGGGGATATTTATGTGAGCAGTTAGTGAGTGCTTTTTGTTTGTCTTTCTGTCAGCAGTTAGTGAGTGCTTTTTGTTTGTCTTTCGCTGGCCCATTTCCATATGCTTTTCTCATACACCACAAACTATTCT